TAATTAGGAGTTGTTATTTAATTATGTATGCCTAAAGTTGATGGTGTAGTAGAAATAGCAGGTTACGCTGTTTGGCAACAGAACTTTCGATCAATATCTACACAATGGGTAACCATGGTATTAATTGTTTCATGTGGAGCTTCACAGATGAGATTTGCACTCTGAAAACTGTTTCTGATTTACCAAAGAACGCTATGAAAGGGTATAACATGGCCCATTCTCTAGCAGTCTGTGGCGAATCACACTGCTCTGCTCATAAAATACAAACTGTTGTAAGTTGTGGGAGGCGCTACATGGCAGGTTAGGTGTGGTAAATGTAGGGAATAACAATGGCATTTCATTTCTTATGGAATCAAACTTTATGAGATCATCCTGAAATCGCGCGTTTCCCACGGTCAGTTCAAGTTCCAAGTGGGCGGAACACCGCACCGGTGGCCGCCACCGTAATTCATTGCGCATCCTGCCCGGCTCCGGTTAGTCCTCTTTCCATCGTGTTTGTGAAGTACTAACAAGTTTTTCTCAGTAGTTCTTGTGCATCCCTTATTACATTGTGGCGTACCTACCCACGTTTGTCCATTGCGTTGCTGAACAAGCCGCAGACGCTCAACAACGCTGCTTTCTATTGATTTTTGTCGCCGCCGTATTCCGCTAACCGAACCACGATATCCGCGCGCTATCTTAGGTCTTATCGTTGGGCCGTTTATTTCATGTGAGTGTCGGGTTGCTTATTATTTCATTTCAGAGCAACAAGTTCAAAGGATAGTCAAGCTCTTGCAATGGAATATAGCGTTGGAGACGTTGTACGATGTATGTGGGGATCGAAACCGGTTGAATACGAAGCGAAGGTACGTCGACATGATGCTTGTTTCTATTTTACATTACAGCAGAGTTCACATGTGAGCTTATATCACCTGTCACTTGACATAAGCTACGGTTTCCGAATAGCATGTGAAAATTGTATTGCGGAACCGAAAATACACGATCAGGTTGTGTTTCTGAATAGCGATGGAACCGTTGACGGTGGTGACTGTGCTGAAGCTTGTTATTATCAAGAAATGTTGCATCCTTCGATTACTATATCGATTGCTCTGAATATTCTTCAGAATTTTAAAGGGGCCAGGCATGTAACTAATAACAAATTTAGAATTCCACTCACCTAGCAAAATTTATGTAGAAATTGAGGAGCAGAAGGATTAGCTTGTTCCTGCCACCGTAAGAGTCAAGTGCTACTGCCTCATATATGAGGAAATCATCGTCATTTGGTAAACCGGCAAAATCAGCAGTATTTTTCAATTTGTAGCGTTTCTAGACAGAGCGCCCACCAGTGCTTGCAGTTGTGTTTTCCATTGGAATATAACACAACGCCTGAAATTTTTTCCGTTCAATCAGGGTATAAGGTTTGATAAAAGAAATTATTCAGGCTCCATTTAATCAGTGTATAAGCAGAAAAAAGATCTAGCCTCGATTTTTGCTCATTTAGCCGACCCACAATAGCAAGTTATTCGAGGATATCTTCATTCACCTTTGTGGTTGATCTCGGCTAGCGAAAATTTGACTTCTGAGCAGTTGTCTTTCAGATTATTCACGCCAATTCCGCAACAAAGGAGTACTTTGTTCACTACCAAGGATGGAACAAGCGCTACGATGAATGGATATCCGAAAAATCGATACTAGGTTCGTCACGGAAACAACAAACGACTCCTTCCCACCACGAAACTCCAAAAGTTCGCCATTCGAGAAGAGGTAATTCAAATTGTTCGCATATTTCGATAAATTTGCTGTATATAACTTCTTGTTTGATGTTTTTAGAAAAGAAAATCAAGAAACCAATTGATTGGTCTCCCACATCATCTGCTACAACACATGCTGCAGAGAAACCTGCCGTTGAAAAAGTTTCAAATAAGGTGAAATTTCAGAATTATTCTGCCCAGTTCACGTTCTTAAAGGTCGTGAAGAATTGCGAAAATTTGTAATGTTTGAATTTATTTAGTAATTTAATGGCTTTCAGCAACATGTTCCGATCTCGTCGAAACGAAAGCACTCTCCGGTAGCTAAAGTTGCTAAGTCGCAGCCTATCTCTCCACCTGTTACAACTGGAGATGATTTGTTTTCCAGTATATTCTTACTAGTTCCCGTGTACTACAAAAACATCGTTAAAAAAACGGTTAACCCGTCTATTGCAACTGTCCCCATTCAATCAAACAGTCGTAGCTGCCAGTACGTTTTTTCTGAAGCTTTCTATTGCTTCCATCCTTATGGTAGTTCTACTCTCTCACATTAGTTTTCAATCTTTTGCTTTTTTGAAAATGTGGTAACAGTGAATTGGTCAAATGTTTGTGTGAAATTGTGACTTTTAATAGTAGTGGATAGCTGGAAAGCTCTGAATTTGATCAAATATGCTTATACAAGACGAATATAATTATCTCGGTCCCAATTTGTGTGCCGCGCAAGCTTTGTTTCGAATGGGAAAAATTTCACTATGAGTTTCAAGTCGGGCTTGTAATTGCTTTGAAAGCTACCCAATCTTTGTGTTTGATTATCCGATCTACATTTATTTTTTCTATAAGATTTTCCTTGGCTGAAAAATGGCCATTTATATGTATAAGTAGTGTTGATTATTGCAGTGCCACCAGCGACGAGGAGGAGGGAGGCGATGCTCTGCCGCGGTCTTATATTGATGTTCTGGCGAAGGCAAAGAAGCGAGCAGAAAGGAAGAGTCAGCAAAGAACTTCTCCGAAAGCGACCAAGAACAAGTCCCCTAAAAGGTATGTATTATAACCTAGCCACAGGCTTTCTGTGGTATGCATATTCAGATAAAAGGTGCCTCTTTATTTCTATTTTCAGTAAATTAATGGAACATGGGGAAGCTGACAACGGAACTCTCCACGCCACTCAACCCGTAAGGTTTTTCAAGACTCACATATTCTGAAATATTTTAGGAATTTCAAAACACAACATTAAGGGTATCATAAACCTGCGCAAAGTTCTCCTTTTCTTACTCAGAATTTGTTAATATGTTTCACTAGTTAGGATTTTCTGTAAAAGCTTGAGAATTTCTAAAGGCAGCCATTCAAGCTTTAGTAACGCAGAAAGCCGCAGGAAAAAAACTTGCTCCAAACATTGTTATGAAAACTCTTCTGTTTTTTTTTCATGAAAATCTCGCTCGTGATCCTATTTTTTGGAAAAATTTTCGTGTCAGCTCCCAAGAACGAAAAGTGCACGTTTCAGGCCAAGTTTGTCTTTCGCAGCATGAACCCGTGTTTAAAGGATTTCTAATGTTTTCTTCTTGAATGACTGAAGCGGTCCCTTTTAAATACTGTTGTATTGTTAGGAATACTACTAAACATCAGAATGAAGAAATGAGCTTGCTCCCAGTACAATAGTGCGTAATAGGTTTTACGACTGCCTCGTTCTTTGTTTGCAGTTTGAGTGGTAGTAAATACTCCAAGGTATGATCAAAAGATCACATGGTCGATGAGGATTGTGTGTCTACCCGGAAAATCGCTAGATTGCAAAGCCATAACCGCCTATCGCTTACTGATATCAGCCAAAAATGATGCATGCGATGGTATACCGGTCAGTCAGCTCGTTTTTGCCTTCTCCAGGACTTCATTTCTACAAAATCTCATCCTTTTTTCTGGTTCGCGGATAAAAGGGAGATGTTCTGCTGCTCTGATCAATTAGCTATATATCTTGCAAACCACAAATTCTACCAATTATGCATAGAATGAATGCGTGCACATAGGAAGCTTTTCAAAAAGTTGGAGCTATCAAATTTGCTATCTTCTTTTTATCTAGTGGAAATTGATTAATCTGTTGATTTGTTTGAATTTATATATTTTAAGTCAGCTGAGTGGGAGAAGTGCTCAACAACCGCGTCATCTGCCGACGTAACCAGCACTTCAGTGGAGTGTCACGGATTTTCTGCAATTGGTTAGTTCTTCCCAGATTTTGTCGTTGTTGGTAAATGCAAACTAGTTGGCCTTTTTTGCGTTAAACCTGTAACTTAAATTTGTTATATAGGTATATCAGGGTGTAACTCATGGATCTCTTGCTTTTTCACAGTTGGGGAAATTTTGACTTTTTAATCCAAAACTGTGATTCAGAAGCCATCGTGTTAATGAGAAAGGTGCACGACTCTACATTTTTTCTTTCAGGAGGAGACCATAACTACTCGAGTTTGCGCTTCCATTATAACGAAACACCGCCACCTAGTTAGTTTTTTATTTAATGATGTGGTTGCTATCGCACTTTGTTTTTGCTTAAAACGTATGTGAAACTATTAAGGTGCAGCTGAAAAAGATCCTGGCAATGGTCATGTTACAAGTAGCACACGACGTGTTCATATTCTTCCTGTTCGTAGACCACTTGACATTGAGTGTGAGCTTTTCGAGTTTCAGTCGACTAGTTCCTTGAGGATCAGCGAGTTTGTTAGGTTTGATAATTTGATTTAAAATCTAGGTAATTGACCACATCAGTGTATTTCTTGATTTCGCTGCTCAGTCGGTGCCATCATAAGTTTTTTTGGGATCTCATGTGTAAGAAATTTTTTTGGAGCTTTACTGATTTCCCAAAAAAGCAAAGATTCACCTTATTGCTTCCACCAACTTTTCGGCACTGTCATCATATTCTTAGTAAACAAACCATTCAAACAGCAAAATTGAATTTTGAATTTGTGTGGGAATA